ATCAGAATTGTGAACATCACAGCAGATGCCTTTGTGTGAAAGTAACTGAGAATAAAACAGAAAAACATGAAGGAGATTTTCCTGGTCTGGCTTTTTATAGCAGAAAACCTTAAAAATATTCTGCAATGTTCTGCATATAAAGTTTAAATTTCTTCAGTATTGAACAACAGAAAAAACAGGCTTTCTTGTCCGAGGTCATTTAAGTGAAAAAGAAAAAGACAGCAGCCACAGCGCTGTAAACAACGGTAGACTGGTGGGTAATAAGCGAATGAATAATACAGAAAACAGAGATTGGAGACGGAAACTGTTCTTGAACTACAGAGAGAGAGAGAGAGAGAGAGAGAGCTAGCTGTGCATGAAGTGTGATTTTAATAGTCGTGGAAGCAAAACAGCAAAATTCATGACGACATTGATCAAATGTGAAGCGCAGTTTGCTGCTTCTTTTGCTGCTGGCTCGGTGAATTTTGGTTGGAGAGACAAAACCTGCAGCTCAGAATCAGCGCAAAAAGACGTAATCACAGCGCGGACCGGACGCATCAGGATCGCTGAGCTCCGACAGCGTGTCCATCTACGGGCCGTCGGGTGAGAAAGCCGAGAAAGACAAAGCTGATTCTGATGCGTCGGGTCTGTGTTTACGTCTTTGTGTGGAGTCCGTGTACCTGCTCTCATCTGCTGTTTGGTTGTTGAAATGGTTTTGTGAGCTTTAATCTGAGAATCTGGCGTTTCTGACAAAACACAGTAATATTTAAAAGTCAGGATTTAATGAATCGATATCGCTTTATTCAAGCTACTCACCTCCCACTTCCACCTGCACTTTCAACTGGACCACGGCCAATCAGAGAGGTCCCGCCCCTTACTATCTCTGATTGGTTTAGTCCACGATAGGGGCATAATGTGTGTCTGTTGTTGACCACAAGGAAGGTTGCCGATTTTTTATTTTTTTTGCTACCCGAACATTTGGTCGCACAGGTGCAACCAAATATTTTTTTTAGTCGCACCACTGAAAAATTTGGTCGCACTCTAGAGCCCTGGTATGGTAATAAATGCTGGATGACTGGTGAAAATGTCTGTACTGCAACTCAGCGTTTTAGCTGATGTCTATGTAGTTTGATTAGATCAGATCAGAGTCGATACGATGTAGCAGGAACCCCGTCGTCGGAGTTAAGGACCGAGCAGTAAAACAGCATTTTGTGCGGCACTGTGAAAGGATGTTAATGTTTTTATAATTTCCTGTTTCTTGTGAAGCTGCTGGAAACTTTTTGAGCCAAACCACAGGTTTTTCACTTCATCTCAGTATCTTCTATGTTCGCCCCCACCTTCACCTGTTCACGATGCGGCTCAGTCACTTATGCTAACGCAGAAGGCTGCATGTCAGAGAATAACACAGGGTCTGTGTTATCCCGGAGCCTCACTGTCCACTCTGTGTGGTCTGCAGCCTGTCCAAGGTACCTCGCATCAAGTGACAGCAGGGACAGGCTGCGTCCATCTTTTAACTACAGCTGGTTAACTCTTGGAGGTTTAAAGGGTCAGTTCACCTATTTTTTGTGTGAAAGCTGCTCAGACAGCATGTGCTACGTGTCGTAAATCAGCTGTGTTCACACAAGGAAATGATGCACTTCCTGTTTGGTTGTGAAAAAGATGTGATGATCTTTCCTCTTTTTTCAGCTCTTTCCTGAAGAGTGGACAGATTGAAATCTCTCTGTCTGCAGCAGGATCAGCGAAGGCTTTGGGGAGGGAGCTGCTGCTGCTTACAAAGGTGTGTTTGTCTGCTATCATCTCAGCTGGTTCACATTTCACCTCAAAGTTTTCACCTTTGCTGTTCTTCCTAACCAGCAGACAGAAGAGAGTCGAACATCTGCTGTAGACCTTTTTGTGCTCTGCTGTCTCAGCTCTTTCTGTGAGTTAGCGCTGTCATCATATCAGGTTTTCACTAAACTGTTAGATTATGCTGAACGTATGTATGCAGAATGTGAGTTGATTTATGGAGCAGAGCATTTATACACAGATAACTGCTCAGAGGAGTGGATACAGGTGAGGAATGAAGTAAAACACAGGTGGAAACCAGCTCTCAGGATACAGCAGCACATGCAGTTTTCCATTCAAATGAACTTAAACCTGAATTCAGAGACAGAACTGTGAAAGGTGAGACAGGTGAATGCTGAGGGAACTAAACACAAGAAAAATTAAAGCAGGAACTGAAACTCAGTGACAGACCAAGGATTTTAAAAGGTGCTGTCCATCACAGTGCGAGACATCCTAGAAAGAAGAGCTGGTGACTGGATCCTGGGAGGCTGCTGTGGTCTTAGATTCCCTAGCCACTGAACATTGTTGTCATGTGTTGCATGCTTCTTCTGTATGCTCTTCCAGTATGGCTACAGCCTTGGTGGTACTCTTCTCATATTGCTGCCTTACCACTGAGCGTACACCTTGGATGGTTCAGTTGTTTTTTCCTCCTAGCTTCTGTCTCTCTTGCATACCTCTTCAAGCTGTTGGGCAAGACCGTGAGTCTTTGCTTGGCAGTTTCTAAGGCTTGAGGCATGGGCAGCTTGTTGTACTTTGTAGCAATGATCGGACCCACACAGTGTACTGACGTGTTTTGAGTTTCTTTATTTTTGTTCACCAGTTCGTTCAGGTTAAGGCACAACTCGAGCCAGGAGTCAGCTCCTCTTGCAGCTTCCTCCGCTGCACACACTTTTCCATCAGTCTCTGCCGTCACTATATATAATGAGAGAGTCATTAGTCTCAGCACACACACCTGTCCCCTATGTGCCCGAGAGCTCACTGCACCACCCATCCACTGCAGCAGGCCAGAGACCACCTCCCTGCCACATACTTCTTAGCAGTCAGAATCAGAATCAGAATCAGAATACTTTATTCATCCCGAGGGAAATTAGGGGAAGTGTTGGGAAGGTTACTTTTAAAATGTATTCCACTACAGATTACAGATTACATGCCCCAAAATGTATTTTGTAATGTATTCTGTTACGTTACTCAATGAGAGTAACATATTCTGAAAAATTGGATTACTTAATATATTATCATGCTTTTTACAACTACATGAATGTCCTATTGCTGTGATTTATTAATATTACTGCAGGTTACTCTCCACACCAACACCAACCAGATGTTTCAATCTTAATATAAATGAGTAACAGTAGGTGGACATTAGGTAAGGCTGCACTTTTTGCAGTGTAGAAAACTATTCGGCGCGTATATAAAACAGGTCCGCTCCGAACTGTAGTAAAGGGACCTCTGGCTGATACGTCGGGTTCGTGTCGGCTCGTAGCTGAAAACTAGCTTTACTTTGTTGTCTGGGTCGACTTTGCTAGCAGAGACAGAGAGAGGCGTTGAAAGGCTGCTGCAACGGGACTTATTGTTTCAGAGGAAAACAGGAACACGGTGTACAGTCGAGTCTTAACAGCTTACTTACAACTGGACTACACTGCCCATCAGACTACATTCTTTAGGGCGATGCCTGTAACACTCTGCCTATTGCCTTCATATTAAATAATTTTTTGAATAATAATTAAAAACAAATTTCTTCATGCCATTATGCGGGCTGCAAGTAGAGGTGACATGGGCCGTGAGATTGAGACACAGGCATTAGAGCAGGGGTGGGCAACTCCAGGCCTCGAGGGCCGGTGTCCTGCAGGTTTAGATGTGTCCTTGATCCAACACAGCTGATCCAAATGGCTAAATGACCTCCTCAACTTGTCTTATAGTTCTCCTGAGGCCTGGTAATGAACTAATCATTCCTTAGCTTATGCTTCTTCCTGCTCCTTTTTGAACATGGACGTTATTTGGAGTTGTGGTTGCTCGTTTTCCTTTTGTTTGCTTTGTTCATTTGTCTCTTTTAATTCTATTTTTTTTTATACTTTTTCAACATGTTCAAAATAAAGATTCAATCAAAATCAAAATCAAAATCATTTGATTCAGGTGTGTTGACCCAGGGTGAGATCTAAAACCTGCAGAACACCGGCCCTCGAGGCCTGGAGTTGCCCACCTCTGCTTTAGAGCCTCTTAATGTGTGTTTTGTTTGGGTTTCCACCGGCGTGGAATTACCAAAAATAGAGAGGGCGTAGCCGAACATATGAAACAGGAAAATACCGCCGTGTAATCCCTTTATTTCAACAAAGTAACTGTATTCTGAATACCACATTTTTAAACGGTAACTGTAACGGAATACAGTTACTCATATTCTGTATTTTAAATACGTAACGTCAGTACATGTACTCTGTTACTCCCCAACACTGCTTCTTAGGCACGTCTTTCTTCATCACACCTTTCTGAAGCTCAGATAGTTGGCTAACTTCCCTCCATGCTGCCTTCATCTTGACTTCTAGTCTCCTTCTCTATGGAGGGTACTGCTCCTTGTGGCTGTTCATCTTTTAGACTTAGACTTAGAGACTTAGAGCTTTTTATTGTCATTGTGCAGTTTCTTGCACAGCGAAATTGGGTAGCTAGACCACAAAGGTGCTAAAGCAAGAAGAGAAACCAATATACAACGAAGGTGGAAAATAAATAAATAAATAAATAATTAAATAAATAGAATAAAATAAAAAACAGTGTATATGTATACATATGTGAGTGGAACTATATACATGGTGTATGTGCAGGAAACATTGAAACAGACTGGGACCAAAATAATTGCACATTTTTTAGCCAAGCATCTTAGTGACCACTGCTACTATGATGTAGATCAGCTGGTTGGTTTTGGTGATGGTCACAGTAGGGATTGTCTGTGATGATGTAATCTTTTAGTATACCAGAGGGTACTTCACATAGTCTTGGCAGTCTCTCAGGTCAGCTGCTCTCAAATTCAATGCCTTCAATGCACCAGTTGCTCTTGGGGCTTGGTACCCAATCTAGGAGGGTGGGGATGATGATAACTGTCCTCCATCTGATGTCCTGGCTTCCCTTTGCTGTAACATTTGTGTTGTACCTCTTTGATCTCTACTTTTCAGCAGAAAATATTCTATTCTATACTTCAGGGAGCTGTGATGACACCAGAGGATCTCTTAAACACCTTAGATGATTTGGGAGATGGGGAGTTCAAAAAATTCAAGTGGTTCCTACAGCAGGCCAACATTGTTCAAGGCCTCCCAACCATCAAGAAAAGCAGACTAGAGATGACAAACAGGTGGGACACTGTGGACCTGATGGTGCAGACCTACAGACTTCCTGGAGCTGTGAAGGTGACCAGGAAGGTTTTAGAGCGGATCAGCAGGAATGACCTGCTGCTCAGTTTGTCTGCCAGCAGGTCCAGACCAGAAGGTGAGTCACAGGAAGACATAAACAGGAAGTCATTGCAGTCTGACAAAGTTTTGGAGGCAACAGGTAATATTGGTGTAATGTTCATATTCTGTTTGTCTGTCAGTCAGTGTACATTAGCGAAGCTGTGTGTCACTGCTTTGTAGCTGGTGTGTTTGCGGAGCGATCCCAAAAACAGACACGGCAGCGTAAACTCAGTATAACCGAAGCCGAGCTCTTTATTTGGCTGAAAATACCTGAATATAAAACGAGGCAAAGCGAGCTGGGGAAAAAAGCTCAACTAAAACCTAAACTGGGAATAAACTAAGATCAACTATGACGAGAAAGCATGAACATTAACATGAATCTGAAAAGGTGCATGTGGAACAATGATGTGAACCCCCGGTGAGCATGAACATGCACCTGAGCAGAAGCACGAAAAAAACCTGAAAGCTGGAGAGCTGTGATAAGAGACAAACAGACAACCCGACACTGAACAGTGGAAGACAGAAGACGTAAAGACACAGAAGGGTAATGAGGCACAGAGAGACACCTGGGGAGACACCGCTGACAAAAATGCACCTAAACACACTGAACATGGAAACGCAAGACTTTCAAAATAAAACAGGAAACATGGAGTGATGTAGATATGATAACAAAAGCTTGACAACATGAAACACGCAGACAAGAACTACATGACAGACTGGGGAGACTGGGGCTGTGTCCCGATTAAGAGACCGCATGCTTGAAGTACGCGCACTACGCGTACTACGTACGGTGCGTACTATAAGTACGAGAAGTGCGGAAGTAAGAGGCTTGTGAAACGGGACGGCCTAGCCTTCATCGCGCTTTTCAGGTTGCCTAGCAACCATGATACTAACTGCGAGACACGTTACATACAGCTTTGTTTGACAGAAATGAAGGAGAAAAATGTTTTGTTAGTCATTCATTTTTATCATGACATCACTTTGATTAGTTGAGTATCTGAGGCTGAGACCACGGGACTGTAAAACATGATTGTTGGGCTTCATTTCTGTGCTGAACAGTCATTTAAGATTAGCTAGTAAACAACAATCAGCTCATGTTGTTCATGAGACTAAAGTCATCTCACTGTGGTAATGTAAATATAATATGGCCAATATTATAGTATTGTCAGATTATTATGAGATATATATCTCGCAGCTTCCTCCGCTGCACACACTTTTCCATCAGTCTCTGCCGTCACTATATATATATATAATGAGAGAGTCATTAGTCTCAGCACACACACCTGTCCCCTATGTGCCCGAGAGCTCACTGCACCACCCATCCACTGCAGCAGGCCAGAGACCACCTCCCTGCCACATACTTCTTAGCAGTGTTGGGAAGGTTACTTTTAAAATGTATTCCACTACAGATTACAGATTACATGCCCCAAAATGTAGCGTTTTGTAACGTATTTTGTTACGTTACTCAATGAGTATTCTGAATACTTTGGATTACTTAATATATTATCATGCTTTCTACAACTACATGAATGTCCCATTGCTGTGATTTATTACTATTACTGAAGGTTACTCTCCACACCAACACCAACCAGATGTTTGAATCTTAATATAAATGAGTAACAGTAGGTGGACATTAGGTAAGGCTGCACTTTTTGCAGTGATCTTGTATAGAAAACTATTCCGAGCATATAGCCCCTTTAGGGCGATGCCTGTAACACTATAATTTTTTGAATAATAATTTTAGAAAATATTTCTTCACGTCATTATGCGGGCTGCAAGTAGAGGTGACAAGGGCCGCGGGATTGAGACCCCGGCATTAGTGCCTCTTAATGCGTTTTTTTTGGGGTGGGTTTCCACCAGCGTGGAATTACCAGAAATACAGAGGGCATAGCCGAACATATGAAACAGGAAATGACCGTCGTGTAATTCCTCTATTTCAACAAAGTAACTGTATTCTGAATACCACCTGTCACGTTACTGGGTTGTGTGACCCAGTTTGTGGGTTTTTAATGTATCATTTTGTATTCACTGGACAGAGGTTTCAGTTTGGCTCATCTAGTTAATTTCCAGGTCAAATCAAATCAAATCAAATCAAATCAAATCACTTTTATTGTCACATCACATGTGCAGGCACACTGGCACAGCACATGCGAGTGAAATTCTTTTTTTTTTTTTTTTTTTTTTTTTTTTTAAATGACATCAGAAACAGCAGTATGCGACATTACGTGATGGCAGAGCTTCAGTTCATCCTTTGTCATTTTTTTTTTTTTTTTTTTTTTTTTTTAATAAATAGGACAGGGGGAATGAATGAGAGAAGAGGGGGAGAGAAAGAAAGAAAACCAAAGGGGAGAAGAGACGGTGAGAAGGGGGGGGAAGAGAGAAAAAAAAAAAGAACTCCTGGGTCACCTGTATGGAGAAAAAAAAAAACAAGCAAAAAAAACAAACAGAGGAGACAGCAAACAACAAAGAGTAACATAATAATAGAGAAAACAAAGCACCATCACAATAAACTAGCTAGTCATAGATATCAATATTTACTAAATAATAAACGATATTGTGCAGCACGCAAGATAGACAGCGCACAGTGTGCTTTGAGGCAGCAGCCAAGAAAGCTTTAGTCCGCGTCTGTGAATACCCATGTGTGCATACCTGTGTGGATCAGCATGCTTGCATTCCAAAGGTTTCTCCATGTAACGATCTGCTAGGGAGTGTGGGGGGGCCACAGCCCCGTCCTCCAGGGTGTGAAGCGGGTATGGAGGAGTGAAATTCTTGTGTGCGAGCCCCACAAGCAACAGAGATGTGCAAACACAACAACACAAACGAGCAAAATACAAGAATGGCCAACCTGAAACTAATAAATATATGTACAATATATAATAGTGTATGCATTTCTGGATGTGTATACTAAATATTTTCCTACGTGTGTGTGTGTGTGTGTGTGTGTGTGTGTGTGTGTGTGTGTGTGTGTGTGTATACACATTTTTACAAATTAAATAGTTAAAAAAAAAAAAATAATAATAATAATAATAATAATAATAAAATATATAAAATATACAGAGTTGAATATGTGCAAAACAAGTGGCATTTATATACAGTGTGGAGTGCATAATGTTGAAGTTCCAGTAGTGAAGCTGAGGTGTCTATGACGTGTTCAGCAGTCTGATGGCCTGGTGGAAGAAGCTGTCTCTCAGTCTGCTGGTTCGGGACCAGATGCTGCAGAACCTCCTTCCTGATGGAAGCAGTCTGAACAGTTTATGCTGGGGTGACTGGAGTCCTTGATGATCCTCCCCGCTTTCCTCAGGCAGCGCTTCCTGTAGATGTCTTGGAGGGAGGGAAGCTCACCTCCAATTATCCGTTCAGAGCACTGCACTACTCGCTGGAGAGCTTTGCAGTTGTAGGCGGTGCTGTTGCCGTACCAGGTGGTGATGCATCCAGTGAGGATGCTCTCAATGGCACAGTGATAGAAGGTCCTGAGGATGCGGGGGCTCATGCCGAATCTTTTCAGTCTCCTGAGAAAGAAGAGGCGCTGCTGCGCCTTCTTCACTGTTTTGTTTGTGTGTACTGACCACGTAAGATCCTCAGCCAGATGTACTCCAAGGAACCGGAAGCTGCTCACTCTCTCCACAGCAGCGCCGTTGATGGTGATGGGGGTGTGTACTTCTCTGCACCTCCGGAAGTCCACTATCAACTCCTTTGTCTTTGCGACGTTGAGGGTGAGATGGTTGTCTTGACACCAGTGGGTCAGGGCGCTGACCTCCTCCCTGTAAGCCGTCTCATCACCGTTGGTGATAAGACCCACCACTGTAGTGTCGTCCGCAAACTTCACAATGATGTTGGAGCTGTTAGTGGCCGTGCAGTCGTAGGTGTAGAGTGAGTACAGGAGAGGGCTCAGTACACACCCCTGTGGAGCACCAGTGTTCAGTGTGATGGGGGATGAGGTGATGCTGCCCAGTCTGACCACCTGGTGTCTGTCAGACAGGAAGCTTGCGGTTTAGTCCTTTGTTTCTTAAATTTCTTTTGCCATCTCCCCCTGTACTCAGTCTCACTGGTTCATGCGCCTACCTGTCATCTCTGTGTGGCTCTTGTCAAGTTTGTGTCTTATCTATGTCTCCGTGTTTCCCGTTTTATTTTGAAAGAGTCTGGTGTTCTTTGTTCATTGCATTTAGTTTTACTCTCCCCTGTGTTGTCATCATGTTTCATTCTAGTCAGCTGTGGCCTCATGTGTCTCCACTTCCCCTGATCACCTCATGTGTGTATTTAAGTCCTCAGTCTTCCTGTGTTCGTCGTCGTGCCGTCTGATTCACCCACCCTGTTATTCTAGCTGCACGTCATGATTCTAGCCTGCAAGATTCGGTATCGGACATGTTCATAGTCACTTACTCCAGTCATGTTTTCCTGCACCTTCATGTGCCAGCACTGAGATCTTGTTCATAGTTTTTCATGTTGTGTTCATAGTCAGTTCATAGTACTTCGTTATAGTTCAGTCCTCAGTCCTAGTCTTCGTTCATGGCCCTCGTTCATAGCCTTTCGTTTCTCCCAGTTTAGGTTCTTAGTTTTGTCATTGCCGTAGTTTATTGTTTGTTATTTTGCCTTCTGTATCAGCCCCTAATAAAGGCTCACTTTGAGTTTAGCAAAAGTTTTGCCTCCTGTGTCTGTGTCCGCACCTCGGTCCTCCAAACACTCTCCACACGGTCAGCGGCTACCGTGACACCACCTTTTTAAATGGTAACTGTAACAGAATACAGTTACTTATATTTTGTGTTTTAAATACGTAACGCCGGTACATGTATTCCATTACTCCCCAACACTGTCAGTACCACATGGAAGATCCTGTCAGGCATCATAGCGGCTAAGGTGAACAGACATATAACTCAATACATGAGTGGGGCACAGAAGGGGATTGGCAAGAATACCAGAGGTGCCAAACACCAGCTACTAGTAGCACTGCCTGGACTGGTTACAAGAAGGCCTATGACCCTAATAGCTGTCAACAGGAACTCCATGGCGTATGGGTGTGGCGTATGCTGCTCGGAAAGCTGCAACCACCAAGTACCTGCAGAGGGTCAGGCAACTCCTGAGGACTCAGCTGAACGGTAACAACAAGATCCGGGCTATCAACACCTACGCCCTCCCCCCTGCTGGGATAAAAAGTTGACCACAGGAGGAGATAGAAGCCACTTACATACAGACGATGAAGCTCCGGACCATGCATGGGGGGTTTCACCCCAAGTCCAGCACCCTGAGGCTGTACGCTAAGTGGAAGGAAGGAGGCCGGGGACTTGTAAGTGTCAGTAACACAGTCCAGGATGAGACAACAAACATCCATGATTACATCAGGAAGATGGCCCCAACCGACCGTGCGATCAGTTAATACCTCAGGCAGCAGAAACCCAAAAAAGAGGAGGAACCATCATGGAAGGACAGGCCCCTGAATGGTATGTACCACCGGCAGATAAAAGAGGTGGCTGACATCCAGAAATCCTACCAGCAGCTGGACAAAGCTGGACTGAACAAGCTCTGAGCACAAGAGCCATAGAGGCTGGGGTCTATCACACCAGGCAAGACCCCAGGTGCAGGCTGTGTAAAGGTGCCCCTGAGACAATCCAGCACATAACAGCAATGGTGCTAGATGCTAACACATGGCGGATCACTCAGTGATATCTGGCCTTACAGATACCACCTTCCTGGTTGAGAACCATGGCCTCTGACCTGAGGGTGAGGATTCTCATTTGAGATGTTTCACACTCAGAAACCACCCCAGTACAAGCTGAAGGTTATTGCTCAATGAAACCACCAAAACCACATCTCCAAAGGTGGATTCTGTTAATCTGGACGTAGCGTTTTCAGTGGGAGAAACGTTTCGTCACTCATCCAAGTGACTTCTTCAGTCTCAGCTGACTGCAGGTTTCTTATATACACCACATTTGCATAATGACGGAAACCAGCCCACTGAAGGAACAATGGGCGGTGAGGTCAGTTCCTTCAACATGATTATGCAAATTCTCATGACCATTTATCAACAACCACTGATCAACAACCACTGATCAAAAACCACTGATCAATGGTCGTTGGTCTCCATTTGACGCAATGCATTATCAGGGACACAACACTGTCAGCAGCTTTTCGCAGTCATCCTTTCAAGCTGGTTCTGAAGACTAGGGGACTGTCTAGCCTGCTCACACTTTTAAAAATAAACCATGAACCTGCTTGAATAACTTTTTATCTATATATTCAGAGTGGAATTTATTTTTATTGAGTCATTATGGCTAAAGTAGAGCTTCTAAGGCAGTTATAAATGTATTTCTGTGAGTGTCTTCAGTCAAACATTAACTTCCAATTATGAAAGTTATAATGTTTCCTGAAGAAATGCATGAAGCATTATCTTGAGACAATATTTCACCCTGAAATCCATGTGTTTCTAACATTAACATGGGTATTTGTAGACACAGGTTTATAATTTGTTACTTGTTTGATACAGATGTGGTGGTTCCAGTACCAGAGCCTCGCCCCATCATGTTTTACAAGCAGATGCTTCAATCAAACTTCCAGGACAAGTTCATGTGCGCACAAGAAGGGTGGACAGAAGATAAATTGCATCTAACTGATATCTACACAGAGCTGTACATCACAGCTGGATATGATGTACATATCAACACACAGCATGAGGTCCGGCAGATTGAGAAAGTATGGAAGCCAGCAGAGCCAGAGAAACCTATTAGACCCACAGACATGTTCAAACATCCTTCAGGAGACTACAGACCCATCAAAACAGTGATGACCAATGGAATCGCAGGAATTGGAAAAACTTTCCTTGTTCACAAGTTTGTTTTGGACTGGGCTGAACAAAGATCCAATCAAGATGTGCATCTGATTTTCCCCTTCACCTTCCGTCAGCTGAATCCTCTGAAGGGAGAAAAGTTCAGTTTGGCAGAGCTCATTCATGAATGCATCCCAGAAACTGTAGGCATCCCACAGGAGGCTCTTAATTACATCTTTACAGATGTTCAGTCATCAGGAATCACCAACTATGACAAGAGTAAATTCAAACTTCTGTTTGTGTTTGATGGGCTGGATGAGAGCCGCCTTCATCTCGACCTTCATTCTGAAGACATTCGCTCTGTCGATGTAACAAAGGCAACTAAAACAGATGTCCTGCTGAGGAAACTCATCAATGGGAAACTGCTACGCTCTGCTCGCATCTGGGTAACCACACGGCCTGCAGCGGCCAATCAGATCCCTCGAGAGTTTATCAGCAGTACAACAGAGGTCAGGGGGTTCACCGACCAACAGAAAGAGGACTACTTCAGGAAGAGAGTCAAAGGTAAGGAGGAGGCTGACAAACTCATCTCCCATATCGTGACATCACGAAGCCTCCACATCATGTGCCACATCCCAGTCTTCTGCTGGATCACTGCAACAGTTCTGGAAGATGTGTTGAAAACCAGAGAGGGAGGAGAGCTGCCCAAGACTCTGACTGAGATGTACGCAGAGTTCCTGATGTTTCAGATTGATCGGACAAAAGAAAAGTATGGCCCAGAGAAGAGCATTCAATACATTAAGTCATTAGCAAAACTGGCCTTTGAGCAGCTGGAAAAGGGCAACCTGATCTTCTATGAGAAGGATCTGAGAGAGAGTGGCATTGATTTCAGCGAAGCCTCGGTGTGCTCAGGAGTGTTCACAGAGATCTTCAAAGAAGATCGAGGAAGGAAAGGGAAAGACAAGATGTTCAGCTTCGTCCATCTGAGCGTTCAGGAGTTTCTGGCTGCTCTTTATGTGAGGATGTCGCTTATAAATAGCAACAAAAATGTGATGCTTTCACCACCACTGTCTCTGAAAATTCTTCGACTGCTTTTCAGTAAAATATCTTCAAAGAAGATCAACAAAATTTCTATTGACAGGGCCTTACAGAGTTCAAACGGACACCTGGACTTGTTCCTTCGCTTCCTCTTGGGTCTTTCACTGCAGACCAATCAGGATAAACTACAGAGCCTACTGAAAAAAACAGACTGTCGGTCAAAAACCAACCAGAAAACAATCCAATACATCAAGGAGAAGCTCAGTGAGAATCTGTCTCCAGAGAGAAACATTAATCTTCTCCACTGTCTGAATGAACTAAATGATCGTTCTTTAATAGAGGAGATCCAACAGTATTTAAGTTCAGGAAGCCTCTCCACATATGAACTTTCTCCAGCTCAGTGGTCAGCTTTGGTCTTCATCTTACTGTCATCAGAAGAACATCTGCATGTTTTTGACCTGAAGAAGTACTCTGCTTCAGAGGAGGCTCTTCTGAGGCTTTTGCTAGTGGTCAAAGCCTCAAAAACAGCTCTGTAAGTACATAGATAACAAGAATTAGAAAATGTCTTAAAACACCATGATTGTTCACTAAACACTAAACTAAACAAAACCAGTGATTTGATAATTGTGAAAACAAATCAACACATTAAACCACAAGCAAAATTAACTACTGGTTTGCAACTTTGTTTGTAGACAGTTTTAAATATTTTGGTCAGATTATTAACTTTAGATAATGGAATCTAAAATTCCTATGGAAATTTAAAGTGGTGTTATTAAACTGTTTGATCCTGCAATCAACCATTCTTGTATCTGAAAAAGTAAAACCTCTTTGGAGGTCTTTTTTTTATACCCCAAAATGTTACAAATGTTTTGTTAACTCATTTCAAGGCTGAGCAGCTGCAATTTGTCAGAAAGAACCTGTGAAGCTCTGTCTTCGGTACTAAGCTCACAGGTCTCCAGTCTGACAGAGCTGGACCTGAGTAACAATGACCTGAAGGATTTAGGAGTGATGCTGCTATCGTCTGGATTGGAAAGTCCACGCTGTGCACTGAAAATTCTCAGGTAAAGTTTTAACGTCTGTCGAAGTTTAATTTTGTTTCGGCAAAGACTGTTTCTTCACATCACGATTTCTGTCCAAACTATTATATACCGAATGTATGATAAAAGCAGTTGACTCTCTGCATTGTTTGGATGGAGAGATCAGCGCTGAGGCTGCTTCTATTGCTGTCTGGCGTAGCCCAGGCAGCGGCTCTCAGTCTGCCCGCGGCAGCGAGTGATTGTGGACAGTTGGAAAAGGAGGTACCAAATTCAAACATTCCCGCCCCCCTCCATTGTGATGACCATCTCGCACAGAAAGCAGATGTTGCTGCACACAAGAGCACACAAGACAGGGGGTGGGTGTAGCTCAGGAGGTAGAGCAGGTCAGCTGCTCATTGGAAGGTTGGTGGTTTGATCCCTGGCTCCCCTAGTTTGTATGCCAAGTATCCTTGGGCAAGATACTAACCCCAACTTGCTCTCAGATGCATCTATCGGAGTATGAATGCGTATGAATGATAGTTTAAAATCCGGATGCACCAACGGGAGTTGGAGTAAAGACAATGAAAGGCATCTACAAACTGCTGAGGGACTCCATACTGGTGTAGGATAGCCCATAGCGATCGTGGATCAAGAGTTGGGAGTTCGCCTTGTAATCGGAAGGTTGCCGGTTTGAGCCCTGGCTTGGACAGTCTCGGCTGTTGTGTCCTTGGGCAAGACACTTCACCCGTTGCCTACTGGTGGTGGTCAGAGGGCCCGGTGGCGCCAGTGTCCAGCAGCCTCGCCTCTGTCAGTGCGCCCCAGGGTGGCTGTGGCTACAATGTAGCTGCCATCACCAGTGTGTGAATGTGTGTGTGAATGGGTGGATGACTGGATATGTAAAGCACTTTTTCCTTAGGGACTAGAAAAGCGCTATATAAATACAGGCCATTTACCATAGAGTCGGCCGGTGGACGCTGTCAAAAGCCTTCTCGAAGTCAATGAAATTAATAGAAATCTTCCTTTGGTATTCCAATGTTTGTTCAATGATCATGCGGAGGGTGAAGATTTGCTCGACGCATGATCAGCCACTCCGACAGCCAGCCTGCTCTTCTCGCAATTGTTCGTTTACTGCGCATCGTAGCTGATTCAAAAGAACGAGGCAAAACACTTTCCCGGGTACCGACAGCAACGCGATGCCCTGCCAGTTGTTACAGTCACCCAAATCACCTTTCTTTGGAAGTTTGATGATTATTAAACTGATTTCTGTTTTGGTCAGACCACATACAGAGTAATTTGAAAATAATTTTTATGGTCTGTCACTCATCCAAAGCATGGCGGACCCCAGTTGGAAGCCGCCCTTACAAGACTCCTAAACGCCTGCTGGTCAACATCATATGTACCCGATGATTGGACAAAAGGCGTCATCATCAAACTTTCAAAGAAAGGTGATTTGGGTGACTGTAACAACTGGCAGGGTATCACGTTGCTGTCGGTACCCGGGAAAGTGTTTTGCCTTGTTCTTTTGAATCGGCTACGACGCGCAGTAGACGAACGATTGCGAGAAGAGCAATATATATAACTTCAATAATATGTCATTCTTTATTTGCGGTTGTGTCAAGGCTGTCAGGCTGTCAGATCTCAGAGGAAGGCTGTATCTGTTTGGCCTCAGCTCTGAAATCCAACCCCTCACGCTTGAGAGAGCTGGACCTGAGCTACAACCATCCAGGAGACCTAGGGGTAAAGCTACTGACTGCTGGACTAAAGGATCCACAGTGGAGACTGGACAGTCTCAGGTATGGACTCTACTGTTGAACTCACATGCTCTCTCGCAACAAGATCCTCGATAATGAGGAAGCTTCTGAAGGCTCATTCTGGCTTTATTTCTTCCTTCAGCCTGGAGCATAGTGGAGCGCAAAGGCTGAAACCTGGTCTGAAAAAGTGTAAGCATGTTTTTATTCTGCATCATTACAAACTAGTCACATTTCTGCTAAATGTCTCTCAATACATTGGTGAAAAACTCAGCGGTAAACATGTGAACATGTGACATCAGCTGCTCATGTCATAGTATCTGTCACTTGTGACAACACAGTGGTAGCTGTGACCAGGAGATATTTTATTTTGTATTCTTATGATCACAGTTATAATCAGAAGTATCAATCATTAATCATTTACCATTGTTGAACCAGTTGACAGAATAATCTTTGAACCATATCTATGTTAACATTAATCTACACAGATTATCAGTACTTTAATCAGTCTATTGTTGTTCTGTACTATTCATGTTATTTGCTTAAAGCTGTTTCACAGTTCTGTAATCACTCAGAAGCCTGTGGGGCCTGCTGGACCCTGCCTTGGTTCTATGTTCAGTTCTGCACGTACACAGGCCTTTAGTAAGAATAGGAGGGTCGTCTGAGGACAGATATACTTTCACAAAAGGCACGAATGTAATACACACTTGTTTTCTCTAACAACTAACAGTTGATGTCCATATTAGGTAAACTCTCTGAACAGGCCCAAAACTGTTATCATTTCCAGTAAGGTCTGACTGTGTTACGTCATCATGGGATCATGGGTTATATAAGGATGGGGAGCGGTCCACTCTTTGGAGATCTGTGGCTGTACGCTTGTCTTCCCATGCTTCTGTCTTAGAAGTGTGCAATAAAATCACTATGTTTGTCACCTACACGGACTTGGCTGTTTTTCCTTCTTACCCAAACTGAACCAGACGTAACAACTTGGTGCCGAAACTCCGGTTGGAGAGGAGGGGAGCTTGCAGCTATCGTGTGGGTGACAAACAGGGGCGGAGGCCAGCAGCCTGTCTGAGTGACGCCAGGCGTCATAAGAAAAGGTGAGTGCCACCTGTTGATTTTTATCCAAAGGCGCTATATTGGAAGTTAAAACTAAATTTAATTAAATAATATTCACGCAGTCTGGGCTTCTGGCGTTGGTCCATAGTGATCTTGACTAATTAGTTTTAAAATAGGGCATAGTAGTCTGACTAAATTCATTGTTGTTCATTTTGGGGGTAAATTTTGAGTTAAGAAGTTATGTGTTTAAGTTAATACGGTTTAAGGTGTGTGGAAACAAATAGATACGGTTTAAGAGGTTAAATGTGGGTTGACTGGGAATGCCAGCCAGTCAATCGGTAGTGTAGGGTTAATTTGGTTTTAATTGGGTAGCAGAGACGGTCTCGGGCTTCAGATAATTAAACGGGGGGCTGAGAGCTCACCGTGAGGCTTTTAAACAAGTAAATTCGTTTAGGACTGAGAAGCTAGGCTCTCTAAGAATGCAGTTTGTTCAGCAGGTGGCGCTGACCCCTGACCCCGGACGCGTGGTTAGGTTCTAGCCCGGTTTTGGCCTCCCGCTGGGGACTTGGGACTCCCGGTTAATTGGCCAGGTAATCTATGAGTGATTGCCTTCTACTGCATTGATTGATTAAGAAGGTTAGACCTGGCTGCATCCTATCTAAACGTTGGGCACACTGAGCTTTAAGTAAAGCCAAAAGCGTGAACTGTGATGTGTCACGTGGCTGGTGGAGCTCCGTGTTTTCCTGGCGGGGAAGTAGTTTTAAAAGTAAGTAGAATTTAGTAATTTGACCGTTTTTCAAGGCGGCGTACTTGAAACGGTAATTGATCAGCAAGAGCCGGGCTCTGGGCTGAAAGATGCTTTTAAATTAGTCAAAAATTTAGCAACACCAGCAGAGAAATAGAGAAGTGAGATAAAGTTGTTCTGGCATATGGTGTTTTCTTAGGAATTCGAGCGCTATCGGGAGGGCGTTCCCGAGGTGTGTATTGACCAGTAAGGCTAGGCCTGGGCTATAGGTGCTTTTAAATTAGTCAAAAAAGTTAGGAGTAACCTCTTCTGGCATATGACGTCTATGCGGGCCCGTGTATACTGTATATAAATTACCCGTGTGTCTGTGCATTTAAAAGTGTAAATTGTATAAACTGTCTTGTGTTGTTGAATTTTTTCTGTGTGGATTCAGAGTGTGAAAAAACGAAAACGCCTTTCTCTTCTGTGTAAATAGAACATAAATTACCGGTGTGTGTAAATAAAGTGTAAAATAGTGGTATAAACTGTCTGTTGAATTTCTCCTGAGTGTTGAAAAAAGGAAAAACTCTTTTCTGCTCTCTCTGAGAGAGGGGCTGTGTGTGTATGTGACAGGAAGTGTGCATGCCCATAGAAGGAAAGAGATGAGGTAAACTCTGTGCAGATAGACCGAAGTAAAAAAAAAAAAAAGGAAAAGGGTCTCTCTCTGTCTCTGTGAGAGAAAAAAGGTGGGGGCCAAGTGAGCCTGCGGGGCCGAGCGGGTCCGCGGGAGCGAGCGTGTATGCTGTATGAGGAAGAAGGGAGTGGGAAGGAGCGAGTGAAAAGAGTAACCGAGTATTTGGTGATTTTTTATTATTTCAGAGGCTCTGGGTAAGAGTTTTGACTTTAGCTGTGAGAGTTGTGAAAAGAGCAGGTTTTTCTTTTGTTGTAGACTGTGAGTGATTGGTGTTTTTCTGCCTAGTGCTGCGTGGAAGACACCGAAGTGTAGAAATGTTTGTGGTTTATCTTTGTTTGACGTTTTATATAGAGTTGGTTGATTCAGGGTGATTTCTCCCGTTTAAGGGAGGAGTTGCAGTGTGGTTATGTTAAAGCTTTACTGTAGGGGTATGTGTGTGATTTTGTGCTGGCTTCGCATGTTTAAATGGATGCACAGAAGTTTGTGAGTGAGAAATTGTTATGGTGGGGTTTAAAGTTAGTAAAGAGTCAAACAACGCCCACTGTTTTAAAAAGGCCCAAAACATCATAGAAGACACCTCACATCCTGGCCACTCCCTGTTCGAACTGTTGCCCTAAGGCAGACGGTACAGGGCAAGCAGAGTAAGGACTAATAGACTCATACACAGCTGTTATCCAACTGCAATAACACATCTGAATACTACAAAAATGTCCACCATGCCACTCTTGTGTTAATCTATGCACGGTCTGAAGCATGACTGTGGGAATACTTAGTATGTTAAGTAGTCTATCTATTTTATTTATTGAATTTTAGTGTTTTTTTTTTATATTTGATATTGCTAGGGATGATGCAATGATCGGGGACCATTCATAATTTTCGTTGGTCTCATGACAATGACTATAAAGATTCTGATTCTGATTCTGATTCGGAAATCCACCCTCCTCAAGAGTTCAATAATTTAGGCAGTTATGTTTATACAAATACTAAATGTATGTTTAGTGTCTTCATACAGGTGTTTTTTCTTAACCTGGAAACCTGAGTACGGCAGCAGAAGACAGGCCAAGCTTTGGCTAAAATTCACGGCTGGACACCAGAGTTGTCCTCACCCCTCCCGGAAAAACAAAAATGAGAGAATGTAGTTTGAGGCAGGTTTTTCTCGCTGAACTGCTCTGGGTGCTGTGTCCCTGAATCTCACCAGTGTTAACCTCTGGCGGAAGACATGGGGAAAAGGAAGAGATGTTCCTGGTAAATCACTGAAACAAATAAAACCACACACAACCAGAGAAAGGTATGAGAAGTGTGAGGAACAGACACATGTGCGTGTTAGAGAAATGCCTCGTTTGAGAAAAAGTTAAATTAACCCATATACAGACGCACCCATACATGCAATGAAGAAACAGCTTACATACATGTGCACGTACATGCAAGGTTAAAGTAGCGACACTTAACATACACCTGTTTTTAAATGATATAGTTTATACATTACTGACAAATAAACTCTGTGGGTTGCAGGACAACAACGTAACGTCAAAAGACAAAGACACTGGTCTGATGATTAAGGGAGGACACGACAAATTTAGTGGTTAAAAGGGTCGACTTGGGACATGTTTTTGTTGATTGTTTAAGACAAATGACTACTGAATGGTAGAAAATTCTTTTTTAGGTTTCTAAACAGGATCTTATGAATTTTAACACGTACCTGTGTTGTCCTGTCAACTTGAGGGGTTATGAGTTGATTATATGGTGAAAAAAACAAAACAAAAAAGGGGGGAGACGAGATCTCGTTGTTTCTCCCCTCTCTGGATAACACAGCCAACACAACATCATTTTCCTGTTCGCCTGTTTTGTTTTGTTTTTGTTTTTTCTGAAAGCCGAAGCTGACCTGGACTCCTACCCTCCCCTCTACCATCGTTGCCCTCTCCGCGACCATCTTTGACCCTTTGACCCCTGAAGGCCACAGCAGCTGGACTCACAACAACAACTTGAGGATGTCAACAGCGCTGCAAAAAAGCGATCTCATGCAGTAGAGACGGAGAGCACTAAACCTAAAGCCCGTTTCACTACACGGGGGAAATTCCCAGGCTGCGTCAGCTGACAGAGCTGTGACGAGACGCGCATTAAGCCCGGAGGAAAAGGGACGGTGAGCAAAAGAATGCTGACCTCTGAGAAGAGCCGAACGGAAGAGCTGCAGAAGGCCGTGGAGCAGAGTAAGGACAACATAAACAGACTCCAATCTGACGTGGAAGGAAAAGACTCTGAGGTGTTTGCCCTCAGTAAGAGCTCAAGGCATCAGAACAGAAATTGAGCATGGCTCCGGAGGAGCTGGCTGCTAATTGAACTCATCAGTCAGACTTGGAGTTTCACATACAGGACTTGTAATCAGGCGGAAGCTTGCTGGAGCAGGAGGTCGTCAGACTTGACGCAAAGCTCCAACAGCAGGAGTAAACCCTGAAAGAGCTACAGAAGCATAAGGGTCAAGTTATAAGGAGAAGATGCAGGCAGCTGCAACAACGGATGAAAACAGACCCAAAGAGGAGGGGAGGACCCTAGGCCATGCTTCAGGCCGCTGGTTTACCTAAACTACAGAACAGGAAGGTGATGAACACAAACATACACCAACACGCGAACACACACTTCTGCATGCGCCGACTTAGAATGAAGAGAAACACACACATGAACACTTATGCACTCGTTGAGGGAGTGAAAACTGATACATACCCATGCACTAAAATCAAAATGTTGATTTAATTTACTAAGAAGTGACACACAATGCTCCAGCTGCTGCAATGAAGAATGCTTTACTGACAAAGGCTCAATGCTGCACACAACAAAGTCAACTATAGAATATGCTATAATAATAAGCCCAGAGGGCATTTGTGTGGTCTGGGGAGCAGAGTCCGGAGCGGTTTGGTTATGAAAACGATGCCTGTGCGAGATATCTGGGGCTTAAGGCCTCGACTCAATTGTTTACTGTACACTAAAAAGAAAAGAAAACTCTCTGAGCAGTGGTGCAGAGTGAAAACGAGGAATTAACAGTGTGAGTTTTATTTCAGAGCGCCACGTCATTGTGATGGAGATTTAATAAAAGGAGGAACACACGGACAAAGAAGAAGAGAAGGGGGGACAGCCCTTGAGCACGATTGCCTGAGGCATTAAAGTTCTGTACTAAATTCTGGTTTCCAGTGTGAGAGAAGTCACGCAGTGCCAGTAGTAGAGCTAGGTTGAGTGATGATTCTAAATTACTGTAAGTAAATCATCGTACACCGTTCAAGTTTCATGATAACGGGGATCTAGACTTTGTTGAACCCTAGGCAATTTGAACAGGTAAAATTCGAGTGACCAAGTAGCAGTTGAATAAAAGTCATTGAATAAGTGTTGAAATAAACTGGCAGAATTAAGAGAATTAAAACATTTCAAGAGCTCAAATTACTTAATGGTTCAATTTTGTTTCACGAACGCAAAACATATAGGTTTATGAATATGAAAAGGTTGAGGTGGTGTTGATTTGACTCTGTGTAGGTTTAGGTTTGGTATTTTTATTGATGGGAGGAATATTCAGTGATAAGTCCTAAGACCCGGGCGTCTGCATTTTGTTTTTGTTATTTTCATTTTTTGTTTATATTTGAACAGTGCACTGATTTTTGTTTGTGAATCTTTTCTTTAAGCAGATCTGCACATCGGAAATTACAAGCATTACACGTCGGCGAGAAAATTGTTGTAAGTGAGTTTCTCCGCATTGAAATGGGTTCTGGAGGAAACACTTGTGGGGACAATTAGAAACGAGAGTCCCTGTCTAAAAAAGGATTCAGCGAGGTAATCCAAACTCAAGTTCTTGTTTTCTTTTTGAAATGACGTCATTTTGCTGAGTGTGGAAACTAAATGCGACGACAGGTTTCACTATCAGCAAAGAAAGAAAGAAATGGATGAATGGATGAAAGACTGGAAATAAAAACAAACGGACTGACTGGTAAAAGATGACAAGACTAGACCATGACTCAAGGTTAACCACCTCCACCTAGATAGGATAAAAGGGTGGATGAATTTATGTGTGTTTCTTTTTACAGGAGTAGAAGGATGACAAAATATTCGAGGATGAGTGAACCTGTAAATGCCATTTTTGTGTCTTGTGTTGTTTACAGAGGTAACTGCGCAGCGTTACCATTTACATTTTCTTCCCTACAGGGTTACAGTTTTAATGTTTTTCTATTACAGGATTTCTGGGCGGATGTGTGAAGAAACGGTGTTTATGGGTTAGGAGTTGGTGATGCTATTACACTGTATTCTGGTGAGAGTGTTGGGGGAGACACACCCTGTCTTGAAAACTGTGATTCTTTTACAGGAAATGTTTTTATAGCACCTATGGGATGTGGATGCCTGACTACGGTCAATGTGCTGCTAATGTTTGCTTTGCTTTGGTGAGAAGGGTGCAGTAGAAAACAGACAAGTGACATGAAAACAAGTAATAATAACAAATAACAAATTTGGGGACAGTTTGACCTAGGGCCCACTAACTGGCCATTAGGGGCTCTCTCTCTCTCCTCTCTCCTCTCTCTTGGAATAACATTGCCCAAAGGGTGAATAAAGCAAATTGTGGCAATATTAGTGATTTAATGATTGGAGAAATCCTGAACATGATACTTGTCTGTTGTGCTGAATCTTTTATTACTCTTATGATTTGCAGGTGGTTGTAAATAAGCTGTTTACTTTAACAGGTTTGCTTTTTAGCTGAATTGCAAAATACAACTAGAACGATTAATTGAGACTAATCGCAACTAACCTGAAACTGAGGAGGTTCTATATAAGGAGGAATTAAAACAGGTATAAAATGCATCTGATCTTTAATTGCAGGTGGGACCATGAAGATTTTTTGGTACAGATTGCAGGTTGTTGCTCATTATTGAAGTGTGCTCATAAAGGTAAAAGCTATATAGGGGGTCTATCATTTGGTCTGTGTTTTAATAATTTAGGTATGGCAAAATTAAAGGTTTCTAGACAATTTAGGGAACGAGTGAGAAGCATAATTAGATGATCAGAAACTGAGTACTACACTCAAGTTAGAATTAAGAATGCCCAATTTGTTTGAGGTCTGTTGTTCATTTTTATACACACATTGCAAATGTGCTTATAAGGAGCTGGCACTTAGTCTGTGAAGGTCAAAAGCTTCATCCGACAACGGATCGGATTGATATATTGGAGCTATTGACTTCACGTGCAGAGGGTTAAATGCATGCACGCTTACACACATAAGCATGGCATAGGATTGGAATAAACAAAGTCAACAACATTAGGTTAGGAGAGCCAGCGCAGGAGAGGTGTTGGCTTTCTGTCTCTTGCAGAGAAGGGAACAGACACCAGACGGGGACACGGAGATATGGGGATCCTTCACAGCAACTGGGGTCAAGTGTCATGGCCTTGGGGCTCCTTGAGAAGATGGATCCCATAACCACAGCGATAACCAGGAAGGGGTTGGCGAAAACTAGGAACACCGGAGACCAACGAGATCTGTGTAACGACTGAAGGGTGGTATAACCCCGGAAGTCGAAGAAAGAAGAATCTGAGGGCGTTTCTTCACTCCAAGAGGAGGTGGTAAAGGGGCCTGAAGCGTGTCAGGCTGAAACTCGAGTCCGAAGCTAAAAGAACAGCTGGGTTGTGGGAAAATTGGAAAACAACGGAGGCGTTGGGATTGATAAGTGTCATAACGTGTTTGTTTGGTTTGGAAATACATCCTGGTGTGAGTTGGGCTGGCAAGCCAGCCCAAAGAGGAGGAATGTGACCAGGAGATATTTTATTTTGTATTCTTATGATCACAGTTATAATCAGAAGTATCAATCATTAATCATTTACCATTGTTGAACCAGTTGACAGAATAATCTTTGAACCATATCTATGTTAACATTAATCTACACAGATTATCAGTACTTTAATCAGTCTATTGTTGTTCTGTACTATTCATGTTATTTGCTTAAAGCTGTTTCACAGTTCTGTAATCACTCAGAAGCCTGTGGGCCTGCTGGACCCTGCCTTGGTTCTATGTTCAGTTCTGCACGTACACAGGCCTTTAGTAAGAATAGGAGGGTCGTCTGAGGACAGATATACTTTCACAAAAGGCACGAATGTAATACACACTTGTTTTCTCTAACAACTAACAGTTGATGTCCATATTAGGTAAACTCTCTGAACAGGCCCAAAACTGTTATCATTTCCAGTAAGGTCTGACTGTGTTACGTCATCATGGGATCATGGGTTATATAAGGATGGGGAGCGGTCCACTCTTTGGAGATCTGTGGCTGTACGCTTGTCTTCCCATGCTTCTGTCTTAGAAGTGTGCAATAAAATCACTATGTTTGTCACCTACACGGACTTGGCTGTTTTTCCTTCTTACCCAAACTGAACCAGACGTAACATAGCACAAGGATGCGTGCTAAGTCATCCAGCTAAGTAAATCCCAAAGGTTGATTCTGTTCATCTGGACGTTTTCAGTGGGAGAAACGCTGCGTCAATCATCCAAATGACTTCTTCAGTCTCAGCTGACTGCAGGTTTAACCAACCTTATATACAGGACATTTGCATAATGACTGAAACCAGCCCACTTGAAGGAACAATGGGCTGGGAGTCAGTTTATGATCATTAATATGCAGTGTTGGGAAGGTTACCTTTAAAATGTATTCCACTACAGATTACAAATTACATATGTATTCTGAATACTTTGGATTACCTATTATATTATCATGCTTTTTACAACTACATGAATGAACGATTGCTGTGTGATTTATTACTATTACTGAAGGTTACTCTCCACACCAACACCAACCAGATGTTTAAATCTTAATATAAATGAGTAACAGTAGGTGGACATTAGGTAAAGCTGCACTTTTTGCAGCGAGCTCATATAGAAAACTATTCGGCGCGTATATAAAACAGGTCCGCGGCTCCGAACTGTAGTAAAGGGACCTCTGACTGATACGTCGGGTACGTAGCTGAAAACTAGCTTTACTTTGTTGTCTGGGTCAACTTTGCTAGCGAGAGACAGAGAGAGGCGTTGAAAGGCTGCTGCAACGGGACTTATTGTTTCAGAGGAAAACAGGAACACAGTGTACAGTCGAGTCTTAATAGCTTACTCACAGCTGGGCTCGTCAGGCTCTCTGTTTGGCTGCAGTGGTTATTATTATATTTACATGCTTCCAGCTCCCGTTTCTGCCCCGTGACAGCTCATACTTTTCCTTTTTCTCCCTCCCTCACTCACAGACACATCACGGGTATGACAGTCCATTCTCCCTGCAGCACGAACTACACTGCCCATCAGGCTCCATGCTTTAGGGCTATGCCTCTCTCTGCCTATTGCCTTCATATTAAATAATTTTTTTAAATATTTCTTCACGTCATTATGCGGCCGCAAGTAGAGGTGACATGGGCCGCGAGATTGAGACACAGACATTAGAGCCTCTTAATGTGTGTTTTGTTTGGGGCGTGGAAACCAAAAATAGAGAGCATATAGCCGAACATATGAAACAGGAAAATAACGCTGTGTAATCCCTTAATTTCAGCAAAGTAACTGTATTCTGAATATCACCTTTTTAAACGGTAACTGTAACGGAATACAGTTACTCATATTTTGTATTTTAAATACGTAACGCTGGTGCATGTATTACGTTACTCCCCAACACTGTTAATATGCAAATTATTATGAGCATTGATCAACAACCACTGATCAATAACCATGAGTACCATTCATAGAGAGTTGGGGAATGGATTCAGAGATGGTCTTTCCCTTTTCACGTAAATGGCCTCCTTGACTCCGCCCTCAAACCAGCGTTCCTCCCTGTCCAGGATGTTACATCCTCATCACTGAAAGAGTGTCCACTGGCCTGTAGGTGTGAATATACTGCAGAGTCCTGGCCTGACGAGGTGGCTCTTCTGTGTTGTGCCATCCTCTCAGCCAGAGGTTGTTTGGTTTCCCCGATGTATAAATCCTGGCAATCCTCCTGCACTTAACAGCGTACACTGTTACTCTGTTTGTGTCGGGGGACATGATCCTTGGGCTCCTTGGATCAATTTTTGGCGCAGCGTGTTTTGAGCCCACAGAGACTCGGTAAAGAGAGGCGATCACTTCTACTATCCCCAAAGAGGGAAAAGATCAATTGGACTGTGGAAATTACTGACCTGCAAGTATGTTAAATACTGGCTACAAATTGAGATTGGAATCAGTATTACCAGACATAATGGTGTTGTTGCCATTGCACTTTGTTGACGATAAAATTTGGGCTGTTGTTTCTGGGCTTCTTTTTTGTTTGTTTGTTTTTGTTTTTTGTGTGTATGGACAGACTGCAAATCAGTTTCTTATTGGGGACAATAAAGTTACCATTGAACCGACCTATTACACAACAACTACACAGGTTTTATCAAACAAACTCAGGATAGTATTAGGAGAACACCACACATTGTGAAATGACTCTGCTAATAAGTGTAGCTGCAGCGAAAGCATTCGATTCTGTAAGTCTTTTCTGCATCAACTCATCCAGTATCAGCACACTGGCAGCACTATATGACAAACCAAGATCAGTGTGGATCTGACAGACTCATTCTACCTACACAGAGGAACACTACAAGGATGCTGCGCTCCACCACTCCTCACCAATGGATATAAAGGAGTAACATCTACTAAAGGAGAGCAGAAAATGGCCTCATTTGCAGATGATCTTCTGTTAGCTTTAGCACAACCTACCCAAATACTCCCAAAGTTGATGACCATGTTAGAAGAATATGACTAATATTCTCGGTATAAAATTAATATTTTACATAAACTAAAGTTTACTTTAACCCATCAAAAGAACTAAGAATGAACTATAATTGGAAGTGGGATAATGAGTCTATTAAATGTTTGGGGGTTACCCTGCGGGGTTCTAAAATGTTTGCGGTTCAACATAAAGTCAGATGTTCAATGGTGGCATCCCCTTTTTGACTTTGAGTTCTCGGATAGAGTCTGTCAGAATGAACATTCTCCCACACATGCTTTATTATTTTCAGTGCCTCCCAAGATCACTCAAACAATTTCTAGAATTGGACAGACTACTTTAGAGACATCTGTGGGAAGAGAGCCAGGGTCAGGTATAAAACACTGATGCGTCGAGCTGAGCAGACGTGAGTTTATGAGCTCTGCACTGGACAGCTGTAAAATATTGGTATTTTAGCTCATTTTTGCCAACAAGTTGCCTCGAATATCTATATAATGTCTCTAGACGAGTTTTTCGCACACCCTGGATCAAGCAAAAAGAGAGAAATGAGCAAACGTGGAGTCAAAGCAAAAGCTAGCAGTGACCTGGTAGCTAGCAATTGCCCCGAAAAGGAGACCATGTGCGACGCTGAGGATGCACTAAGTACACTGCGGGATGACGTGATTGTGGACAAGGTGACTTCTAACATATCTAAGTATATGGATATCAAGATATCCGAAGTCATAAAGCCAATAAACGAGCTCACTGAGAAATTCGACAATCTGATAGAAAGAATGGAAACAGTGGAGCAGCGGGTCTCGGACTTGGAAGATGTCACGGCTACAAATGAGCCACGTATTGCCGCTCTCGAGACCCAGCTTAAGAAGGCCATGGAGCGTCTGGAAAGCTTTGAGAATCAGAGCCGGCGGCAGAACGTGAGGATTGTCGGGTTAAAGGAAGGCGCGGAGGGTAGAGCACCAGTGGACTTTTTTAAAAAATGGATACCAGAAGTCCTGGGCCTTCAACAGGGTGCCATTACAGTCGACAGAGCCCATCGCACTGGACCACCTATGAGGCTTACCGGCACGGAGGGACCGCGTGCAGTACTGGTCCGGCCTCATTACTACACCGATACACAGAGGATTCTCCAGGCTGCCAGGGCTAAAGGTACCGTAAACACAGAGGCAGGAAAAGTATCCTTCTATCAGGATTTCTCCGCCGAGGTGGCTCGAAAGAGAAAGGAGTCGGCGAATGCGCGTAAAGCTCTCCGAGAGGCGGGGATCAAATATTCCTTCCTTTATCCAGCCATCATTAAAATATTTAACCCCGATGGCACCAGCATCTCCCTCGCGACCACCCAGGACGTCAAGGACTATGTGAGCAAATTGCCAAGACCTAAATAAACTGTTGGTGCACGACAGTGTCATTGTAACGTAAGTTACAAACTCGAGGCTTACAGCATTAAAGTATTGATAATGAGCTAAGGTATAGAGACTTTGATTTTTGACATAGACTCCAGTGCAGGGATGTTACGCGTTTGTGGCCCCCCACAGCTGTACTTTAGAGTAGGGTACATCTAGATGTGTAATTTATTTTTTGTTATTTTGTGTTATTTGTGTTGGGGAGGGTTGAGGTTTCCAGGCTTTGTGTTCAGGTTTTGCTGGGAACCAGTGTTCTTGTTTTATGCTCAATTATTTTGGTTAATAGGCTCAGACTGGTCAAATGTAGATTTGGTTAAATATGTAAACAGCACAATATATACATTACTTTTCCTATATGTCAGTTAAGATAAGTACTTGGAATGTTAAAGGGTCCAACAATGTGGTGAAAAAAAAGTCCATTTTAAATTCTCTGAAGAAAGATTTGACTCACATTGCTTTTTTGCAAGAAACCCATTTGACAGATGATGAACACAGAAAATACTGTAGAGAATGGGTTGGTCAAATTTTTTTTCTCATCCTACTCCACAAATAAAAGGGGGGTTATTACCCTTATACACAAAAATCTTCCCTTCAACGTTATAGCCACTCACAAGGACAATGAAGGAAGATATATATTGGTTAAAGGGATGTTGCATGGGGAAACTGTTCTCCTAGGTAATATATATGCGCCGAATGCACAGGATGGCGAATTTTATACGGTATTATTTAGTCAATTAGTGGACATGGACTGTGCTAATATAATATTAGCGGGTGACTTTAACTGTGCTTTATGCCCTAAAATGGATAAATTTCCCCCACAATCTATCTTGACCAAAACTCCAAAGCCCTTTGGCAAATTATAAATGAGCTTGACCTTATAGATGTTTGGCGACACTATAATCCACTATCTAAGGAGTACACTTTCCATTCTAACCCTCACTTATCAGCATCTCGTATAGATTATATTTTTATGTCCAAGTGTATCAGTCAGTTAGTTCAGCAGGTAAATATTGGTCATATAGGTCTCTCTGACCATGCTCCTGTTGTCTTAACCATTCAACCCATGAGACATATTGAGCGCTCTAGGTCTTGGAAGATGAGCACACTGTCTCTTTTGGATGAGAAATTTATACATTTCATAACAGAGCAAACAACAGTATTCCTAGAAATAAATGACAAAGAGGAGATAGACACGAGAACTTTATGGGATAGCTATAAGGCT